GAATCCTGATCTCTGCCTCCTGAAATCTGCTCCACCTAGAGTCTTCTCATCTTAATACAAAGCAACTCTAACCTTCCAGCTGCTCAGCCAAATGCCTTGAGTTACTTTCCATGCTTCTCTTTCTCTTGCACACCACATCCCACCCATCAGTATATACTATTGGCACTACTTTCAAAATCCATCTGGAAGTGAACTTCTTACCACCTTCACAGTCCTATTCTGGTTTGAGCCATCACCACTGTTGCTTGCTTCACTGCAGTAGCCTCTCACACATTTTCCTGTACATTCTATTCTTGACACAGCACTCAGACAGATCCTATAAAAATAGAAGTCACATTGTGTCATTTCTCTGCTCAAAACACTGCAGGGGCTCCCAGTTTTCCTTAGAGAAGAAGCCAAAACTCTTGTTCTTCCCTCTGTTCTTCTCCAACCATGTCTTCTACTCTCTTTCTACTGGACTTGCTCCGGCCACCTTGCTGATCCCTGAGCATGCCAATTATATTCCAACTGTAGGGCCTTTGCATTGGCTGTTTCCTCTGCCAGAAGCACTTTCCTCAAAATATTCCTGTGACCAAATCCCTTTCCTTCTTCAGGACTTTATTTAAATTTCATCTTTTAAAATTACTACTCTTCCTCTCCTTTCCAGATACTCTCGATCCCATTTATCCAGCTTTATTCTCTTCCCTGGCGCTTACCATCTTCAGACATTTAGTTATTATGCTCAATTTGGTGGTTTCTCAATGACAGTTTAAATTCCTTGAAGGTAAGAGTTTTGTCTGTTCCCTGATGCCTTCACATGTCTGGAATAGAGGCTTGCACATAGTAAGTGCTCAAAAAATATTTATTGAATGGATGAAAGAATGAGAATATATTATTAAATGTTGTCTAATTTTTACTCCAAATCTGTCCCAAAATGTAATACTAAGCAGTTGTGTAAACCACTAGAATATTTAATGACTTGGAAAACTATTTACAATCTAGTGCTAAAATTTTTACAATCAGGTTTCAGAAAAGTAGGTAGGATATGATCCGATTTTTATTTAAACAATGTACATGTTTGCATTAAAAAGGACTAGAAGGAAATATTTATTTAACAAGTATTTCTGAAGCACCTACTATGTACCAGACATTGTGCCAATTAACTCTTCCTGGGATGAGATTATAAATTATTTTTATTTCTTCTTTTTGCTTATCTGTATTTTCTGTATTTCTACACTAGTGATCTATTAATTTTACATTAGAAATAATTAAGCCAAGTGCTTTTATTTGCTTAGGTACTTTTGAGTGATGCGACTTTGAGCAGCACATTTTCAGGATAAATGCATAGCCCTGTGTGCATACTGATTTACTACAGTATTAATAGAAGATGCTACAAATGGAGTTCTCTCTTAAATTCCACTAACTAGGGAGAATCCCAGATCTCATTGCCTGTTTAAACAATTGCAGGGACAGCTGTGACATCCACAATCAACATTCTTCAGTAACCAAGGAGATATTCTAGGCAATTTGTAAGCTACCAGGGTAAGAGTAGACATTTTACCATTGCCCACCATCCCTGGTCTCTTGGCATTTTAATTGCTTGTTAGTAAGACACTTCAGAAAGCCTTGAGCATGAAAGAGACAATACACAGTAAATTCTAGTATAATTTCCTTGTATTCATTAAATCACTGCCAACTTGAACATGATTTCCTTTGTACAGATACACTATCATTTCTAAGAACAGTAAATTCTATGTACAGGTTTGAAGAGCAAACTTTACCTGGAGTTTATTCCCCGGAGGTATTTCTATAACATGCTATTTGAAGATTCCTCTATTTCAATTTTTAAAAACCTCCATCTGCAGATGCTGTCCTAGGCTTTGACATTCTCAGCATTAGAGTGGGACAGATGTTTCCCAATGCTGATTTTTTTCACTGTCACTTTGTGCTTCATTATATCAGTCAGATAATGAAATGCTTAATTAGCTCTTCCCTTTTGCCCCAGGATCATTTTATAAAAAGGTAAATTGAGAGCTTTGAGAATAAAATATCTCCATTTGGCACTCAGGTATCTAAACCATATTTGAATACTTGAAATATTCGTGCAGGGGTGCTTCCGGGTAGACATGATATACAAGACTTCTCTATATAGGCATCAGTTGCTGGGGATGGTGGCCACATCATCTCTCTTTCCCCGGCAGCCCAAATATCACTTGTTTTAGATGTGAGGGCTGCCAAACATCATTAGCCCCAAATGGGGCAAATCAGCAAGAGTGGTCCTGGTTTCTGGGAAATTCACTCTAGGCTCCTTAGAAGCTTTGCCTTTCAGGTGACATCAACCATGAAAGTCTTCACCCATCCAGACCCATACCATGTTGAGCAATCCAATAGAATTGTCAATAGCCCTTTTCCAGATGGTTCTTCTGCCCCAAATGCAATTCATATTGTCAGGTATAATCTAGTCCCTCTAATGTTAAAAAGGAGAAGTTTGTTTTCTTCTCTCCATTCCATCCACCTTGCACCCGCATCACTCCAGCCCTTGCAGTTTGCTCATTATATGGGTGATGTACTCACCCAGCCACCTGTTCATGCTTCCTTCCTATTAGCCTCTTTAGCCCAAGGAGTGAACAAGGGTTTTTTCTGAACAGGAGGGTACTCTATCTGTGGTCAGAGTGGGATTTATAGTGTGTGCGTCCCCCCCACCCCCCCACCCACCCATTTGGCTGGCTGATACTTGCTCAGGGAAAACCTAGCAGGCAAATCAGCTGACATATTGCCTGAGGTGACCAGTCGAAAAATAAAACCTTCTGAGAATGTTGCTGCAACTACTATTTTTGTCTAGAAGAGACATTCTGCTAGTACGGATGACAATTTGGTTGGGTTAGGAGGAGCCACAGGAAACAAGAGCTCAATGCTGATCACTGTTATACAGATCTGGGATGATGGCACATGCGGTGATCAGCTGATTACATTACTGTATCAGTGCATTCGTTTAATGTCATCAAGGTCAAGGAGGTCTGCTTCTCGGTGGTGCTCAACAGGAAACTCAAAATATTATGTATGCCGGCAACAAGTGCCATGATTGATTTTTGTTATGGAATTAATCTGTCAAGAGTTGCAGTTTCAGGTTTGCTACCGTGAGTTATATCTCTGGTTCAGCTGGAAGACACAGCGCCAGAGAAAAGGGCTAAGCTGTCTTTGGCTATTTGCCTCAATCAGAGCTTTGTTAAGTGCTTGCTGCTGCTGCTGTTGATAGGGAGGTAGATGTGAGGGCTGCCAAACATCATTCCATTTAAAATGCAATGAAAAAGACCCCTCTGTCATGGCAGCCGGACCAAATGGGGATAGATAGTTGTGTTGAGTTGCTTCATCCCGGGGAGCTGCAGAGACTCTGATTTTAATACATCTGGGTGAGCTGCATGTAAACAAACTTCATGGGTGGAACTTGACTGCGGCTGATGATGAGTCATTAGACCAAGAATTTACATGTCATACTGTCCATGGATGGGAAGCCCCTGTGAGGTGTGAGGCGGGGGTGAATTGGCATTTTAGAAGGAACACTGAGACAGGAGCACACAATGGACTGGGGACAGGGAGGACTGAGGTAGGTGAGAACAGTGAAGAAGCTGTTTGCAATAGGGAATTATTGCATTCCCTCAAGGTGTGGCTACCCACTATGGCTGCCATCCTGACCCCCAATGAAGCTCCCTCTTCACAGCAAGGGAACGTATTCACCATGCCCAAAACAACCATCTTTCATTTCATCGACATCACACTATAAAATCATTTAAAGACTGGTTTCTTCTGAAATGAATTTGATTTTGATTCCCATCCCCCTCTCCTTTCTACCTATCCCTGCTGCTCCTAGGTGCTCAAGGGCCGGTTTGAGGGGAACTATTTTCTTTTGGGAGTTATAAAATAATTATACGAATAATTGTTCAAGCAGGCTATTCATTACTATCTTAAAAAGGATGATGAAGATCTTTTTAAGAGAAACATGGGTTTTTGTTGTTATTATTTTGTTTTGTTTTTCAAAGATGCTTCAGCCAGTACTCAATTGATTGGCAATTTCAATCCCTTGAAGTCAGGTAATATAGAAACATAGGATCATAGGATCTCAGAGGAGGCAGATCCCTTTTTGATTACCTCACCAAACCAATCCAAAACATGAGTTCCTCTAAAATAATCCCTCCAAGAAATAATATCATTAATAATGTCTAACGCTTACATAGCACTAATGTGCTTTACATGTGTTAATTATTTAATCCACACAACAACCACATGGGGCAGCCATAGCTTTTATATTCGTTTTACGCTGAGGCACAAAAAGACACAGCTTGTAAAAGAGGTGGATCTGGGATTTCAACCCAGGCGATGTTTCCAGGACGTGTGATTACCCATTATGCTATACAAACTTCAGTTGAGTTTTCGCTTGAGTAGTTCCAGGCATGAGGAGTTCACTAGCCTCAGAAAAGCCTTATTTCATCCTTGTCTGTTCTGCTGGTTAGACATGTCCGCCAATGACCTAAAGTCTTCTCTAATATTTCTACCTATATAGCCCTCTGGAGTAATAAGAACATTTAATCTGTCTGTTGCCAAAGTCTTTTCCTGGGAATTTAAATTTGTCCTCCAAGACTTAATTCATATGTTATTTCTCTGTAAATTTTTTGTGTGTGACAGTTAAAAGCTGGTGTATTTTTTTTCTTTTACAAGTTCTGTTGGTCCCACTCTGGGTATGTGTGTATGTAATTACTACTGCGTTTGTGTGTTTGGTGATAAGGTCATTTTTTTAAGTCATAGGAGTAGAATTTTATATTTCTTTATTAAATTTCTTTCAAGATTGAGCCTATTTGCTGCAATCTATTAAAATCTACAGCCATACTAAATACTGCTCATTAGTCCTGGTTTCGTGCTATAATTTAATAAAACATGAAGAAAATCAAGTCTCAGAGAACTTTAGTTGCCCAAGGTTTTATTAAGTGGAATTTGCCCCCAGTTCTATCTTAAAAAAACGTATGCAAGTGCTCATTCAGGAGCCCGTACACTAAAACTGGAACAGTACAGAGAAGATCAGCATGCCCCCTGCACGAGGATGACACGCAAATTCGTGAAGCATTCCATATTTTTGAGTGGGCTTGTCATGGTGAGCCCCAAGGTGATGTATGGAAGTGTTGAACCACTATATTGTACACCTGAAACTAATATTACACTGTATGTGAACTAACTAGAATTAAAATAAAAGTTTAAAAAGCAAAAAAAGAAAAGAAAACAAATGAAATTTTGGTATATCATAATTGTAATGTATATATATATGTATATGTGTGTGTGTATGTGTGTGTATTTACTTCACTAGACAAGAGAAGGAGAATAAGAGGAATGTATACAAAGATGATGATTTTGGACTATTTTTTGAACCATTAAAAATAAGCCATTTGAAAAAGAAAAAAAATGCATGCAAATCCAATTGCTTGCTCTCGCTGCCAGATCAACTTTTCACTCCCTCTGTTTCTGGCTTGCCTCACGCTCCAGCCCTGCCCTCCCCACTAATGCAAAAGGAGCATGACTATAGAAGATTTCCTGTCTCAGCAGCCACCTCACTCTCTGTTCCTCATTTTTATTTGACTTGAATTGTGAGAAAAGGTGTTGTCCTGATATATTGCCTAATCATAGTGTAGCTTTTGGCTTGATACTGACTCTTTTTAGCCATCTTAACTGTATTATCTGTGATTACGGTTTTTAAAATAACTTAATTAATGTCATGATGAAATTAATTCATTGCTGTGCTAATGTTCAGAAAAAAAGTATTCCAGAGACTGATGTGAATTAGTAGAGGGGGTTTTAAAGCTCCGTTATTGGTCTAGGGGATGATACAAAGTCAAAACTGCTAGCATTATTTTTACAAGATTTGGAATGATGCTTAGGAAGGTATTTGCAAGTTGTATCAACTAGATAGAAATATGCAACTGTCAAGCAATATGACAGCCTGCACTAAGAGGGAAGGGTGCAGTGACAGTGGGAATCGCCTCAAAGATCACTGTGAATCCTAAAAATAAGGACAGTGATAGGGAAGAAAAAAATAGAAATGAAATTCTCACTGCAGGATCTGGAGATAATTTCTAATCTTCTCCAATTTTTCTCTTCTTCCCCCTCCCCCTTACCAAAACACATGTGCAGACATAGGGCATTCTTTACTATCGTTTTAGAAGTACCTGTCTCTGTTTTTATCCTAAATCATTTTCTGCACATCTTTTTTTCTCTAATCAACTTAACAAGATATTATCAGGAACCAACTGCAATCTCACAACTATGCTAGTTATTCCAAAAGATTCATAGAAAGATAACTGCAGTATCCTTTTTAGAATTTTAAATCAGTTGGTAAGAAAGACTGTACAGAGGGGGAACAGCCCTCCTGCTGATATATTCAGTATATCATGCAGGACTAAACCCGTCATGCTAGATATGTATGCTATAAAACTAGGGGAATTTATTCATTTATCCTAAAGACACTCAGTGAATGCCTTGCATGTGTAGGATTCTGGCAGAGGCCTAGAGAAACAAGGATGAATCAGATATTCTCCCTGACCTCAGGGGCTCAAATGTTACTGGGAGCCACAGAACCGTAAATGGATGATTAGAAATCACCGTGGTTGGGCTTTGTGCTAGTATTGGAAAGACAAGTAGAGCTTCACTATATGCAGAACGCAAGGGAGCTGGTAAGATGGCATAATTCAGGTCAGAAAGAGGACAAGAGAAATACAGGAGTGTGGAAAGGTACACAGCCTGGTGAGGAAAGTGATTTTTTATTGGGTGGGGAATTGTAGAGGAATGAGGAACCCAGCCTGATGGGGATTTGGCAGTTAGGGTGTTGCTTGGATGCTGTGTTGGGAAGGGCTGCAGCAAGATCCTGTGTCATACTAAAGGGGACACCTAAAGCATTTTTACGACTTTTATTTTACATGTACATGTGTTATTTTATGACATTATTTTATATCCGCACCAACCTTAATAGGTTCCACTCCCTACATTCTGTCCCTAGCATCCATCGGACCCAGAGCAAGATATACAGTATGTTTAAATATTGGCGATTTATAAATCAATCTAACAAAATATTAAATGAAAACTGTTCTACCTTTCTCCCCTAACAAATACATCTTCATAACAGCCAGTTTTGAGTTTAAGAGTTCCTGGAATCTTCCAAGTTTCAGGCTAAAATCTGGTGGTTTGGGGAAATCCACTGCCCACTCTTCCCACCCCTGATTCCATCCCACTGTAAGATGTTCAAATATATCTGGACACTTCTGTCCACTTGCCGAGTTCCATTACAGCTCCCCCCCAACACACACACATGCAACCACGCATTAGCCCACCCAGAGCCTAGAAAGATATTCACTTGAGGTGTGGTCCACTCCTGGGAGGACAGATTCCAGGAAGAATTCTGCATATGCCTTAGTGATGGACTTAAGCCATGAATCATTGGTACCAAGAATGTGGCCTAGAAGTTGGGGTTTGGGGAGGTGCAGGTTCCTAGTGGGCCTGTTGCTTTGCCCTTGGCACTCTACCCCAGTAAGGGGGCATGGACAGAGAAGGGCCAGAGTTGGGTCCCTACCAAAGTGCTGGATACAGGGAAGGGGCCTCTCTGACTCAGGTCTCAGAGCAGTATTTCCCTTATCCCACCTTGTACGGATTGAGTTATCTGTAGTCCTTTATCCTTCTAGGGATAGTCCTGATGTTTAGAACTGAGGGCTTGTTGTGCTGATGTTCCCAAAACTTCCAATAAGACGACTCCTTCATTTAACCATTAATGTTAATCTCCCCATGAAGGCCTATCTACGGCAGCCATCTTCCTCCAGGCCAGAGACAGCTAGTGTGTGTGTGTGTGTGTGAGCATGTAGTAGGAAGAGTGAGATGGGAAATTCACCTTTCTTACAGGCCAAATATGATAGATTATTAATTATTAAACACTAAACACTTTGTAAACTTCTTCAGCTCCTAGTTCACCACATGTTTCTCTACCACTATAGAGATTACCTTTTTTTTTTTTTTTTTCCACCACTGAGACTGGAAAAGGAGTAAAAGAATACAAGAGAGGCAAGGATAAAAGCCCTGTCTCTTCCGGCTGCAAGGAAACGTGGGCAGGAGTCCGCCAGAAAAAGTAGAAGGGCTGGAAGTGACAATGTTGTGTTGCAAGCTCCACCCTAAGAGGATGAAGAAGGGCTCTGGATTATGAACCAGAACTCTGAGGGCACAAGGACTCTTGTCTCACTCTCTTTACAGGCTCCTAGGGGAGGTTACCTCACAGGTTTGTGCAAACCAGAGTGGGGGCAGCCTCATCAGAGTAAAGGTGGATGGTTGGCAGAGAGGGAGAGCCTGAGCACTCTCATCAGATTCCCCTTCCCCTTGGTTCCTTGATGGCAAAGACAGGACCCAGCACCCTGAGTGCTGGCAGTTAGTAATAGCTCCTCCCTGGCACCACTCACACATAGACTTGCTCCCATCAACTGAGAAACATGGCTACAAGATCCTTCGGGTCTGTTGCTCAATTCTTAGTCTTCATCTTTTTTGGCTATTCAGCAACACTGGACACATTCAGTCCACACTCCTTGAAAAAAATTCTTCCCTTGGCTTTCAGCATATCACTTTCTTTGGGTTTATTTCTTACGCACTAGCTTCTTTCTTTTTTTCACTCTGTCTGTTCCTCCCCATCTCCACAGCCTATAAACCCTAGAATGCCCCATGGCTCAATCCTCAGACTTCTAATCTTCTTTCTTATTTCTGTTCTTTGTGTGATCTCATCTAGTCTCTGCCCTGAAAGATCATCTTCATGCAAAGATTCCTAGGATTGCATTTCCACCTTGGACTTCTCTGAACTCCAGACTCAGATATGCATCGGCTTACTTAAGAGTTTATTTGAAAGTCTATCATTACCCTAAAACTGGATATTGACAGTCCACTCTCAAAATGGGGGCACTTAACATAGGTACTCAATAATTGATAGAATAAGCAGCCAAAATTGAGTAAGGATAGATGAAATTTAAACAGCACAATGAATTATTTAGGACTAGTAAGAACATTATATCTCCAAACTCCAGAACACACATTCTTCTCCAGTACACATGGCATATTCATAAAAATTAATGATGTACTAGGCCATAAAGAGAACCTCAATACATTTCAAAGGATTAGTGTCAAGCAGAGCTTATTTTCTGATCACAATGCATATAGTTAGAAATTAATAACAAAAGAACTTAAAAACCCTAAGTGTTTGGAAGTTTAAAATCAATTTCAAAAAAGAAACTCCTGGTGGAAAAAGTCACAATGGAAATTAGGAAATATTTGTAACTGAACAGTAGTTGAAGGAGTATTTATCAAAACTTGTGGTATGCAGCTAGTGTGTTACTTAGAGGAGAATTTATAGCCTGAAATGCTTACATTAGAAAGTAAGAACAGCTGATAGGGTGCCTGGGTGGCTCAGCTGGTTAAGCACCCAACTCTTGATTTCAGCTCAGGTCATGATCTCAATGTGGTGAGATCGAGCCCCATGTCAGGCTCCACACTGAGCATGAAGCCTGCTTAAGGTTCTCCCTCTCTCTTTCCCTCTGCCCCTCCTCCCTCTCTAAAATAGTAAGTAAATAAATCTTTAAAAAAATGTAAGAACAGCTGGAAATTAGTGAATTAAGTATTCAACCTATTTAGTTAGACACAGAATACCAGAAAACCTTAAGCTATTGGACGGAGGGAAACAACAGTGATGAAAGTAGAAATCAATGAAGTGGAGGAGGAAAAAGCTACTATAAAGACTAGAACAAATCAAATGTTGGTTCTTTAAGAAAGATAAGTTACTTCAAAACAGGCAAAACAATGGGAAGAATAATCAGAGAAAAAAGGTCACAAATGAGTGATTCTAAGAAGGCAACAGGCAACGTTACTATACATAGAATGGAAATGAGGAAATAAAAAGACAATATTACGATCAACTTCATGCCAAAAAAACTTGGAAACTGAGATGAGATAGGCAAATTCCTAAATAATTCTAACTTCCTAAAGTTGATTCACAAATAAATAAGAAAACTGAATAGTCACATAACCATTCATGAAACCAAACCAGAATTTATGTATTTTTGTTGGTT